TTAAATAATAATAATAATAATAATAATAATAATAATAATAATAATAATAATAATAAATAATAATATTAATAATAATAATAATAATTTTTTCTTTTTTTAAGAGAACTGCTTTTTGTGAAATATTTTTGTGGAAAAAATTATCATTATTATTAAAGACGTCGATCATGTATCGTCAATTTATTTGCTGTTCTGCTGAATGAAGCTGAAGCAAAATAATGCAGACATAAGATGAATTCTGCTCCTCTGTAGAACAGTTGTTAATACCGAAGAGATTCAAGACTTTCTCTCAGCTGGAGACTTTTTAAACTTGTTTTAATATTTATATCTTAATTTGTCTTAATTTTGTTTGTTATCCTGTATTTTTACTGATTTTATGAAATAAAATCATATTAATGATTCACTATTATTATTATTATTATTATTATTATTATTATTATTATCATTATTATTCAAAAAGTTTTGTTAATATTTAATCTATGATATAATCATACCGACCGGGATAGTGGCGTTAAATCTCACAATATAAAGACCGTGATAATCATATATTAAGACATTATATATATTCCCATTAAAAATATTCCTTTATTTGCTTTATTGGTATTGTTGACTTTGATGATACGTCTTTTGTTAAATTTCTTCCGTGGTTAAATACCACACTCAATAAAAGGAAGCCGTTGACAGATATGTGTGTTATTTCTTCGATCAAATTATGGAGATCAGTGTTTCCTACAATAGTCTATAAATAGATAAACAAACTTTCCTCCTCATTTAGGCGTTTGGTGGAACTGAAATCGTTACTTGTTGAGTGTCTTAAATAAACGTGACCTTTGAAAGTAAAGAGCCGTTCAGCAATTGAAAAAAATAATAAAAACATTGGTGTTGATTGTATCATCTGAAAGAGTCTCAATTATCATCATGCCGTACTTCATTAATTTCGACTCCACCTTCCTGCTGTAAGGGTCTAATGAGAATGCTTAACTTTGAAAACACCATTATGAAGTAGACTTTTGTTTTTCCTTTTGGCCATGTTTGCGTTGAGTTGATAACGGTTTTTAAGCTTGCCGCGGAAGAGAAAAGTGGAATCGAAAATGAAAATATGACGTGTTGGTCGCACTTACGATTCAGTTCAAAACAAGCAGGTGTAATTAGCATATATCATTTCTCAAATGAAAATGATCACTATCGTGGTGGATTTTGTTATCTTTCGAAGATTAAATCGAAACCTTGAGCTCTCAAGGAAACTTAAATGGGTCTTAAATCTCAAAGGCGGACGCATCGAATCCTTAAAAAACCTTATACAAGTATATTCTACATCTAGTCAACTTGTGCTTTAGTGTATCAACGTTCCATCAAATGCGTTCAGACTACTCTCGAGGTGAAAGAATATTGATAAGGAAATGTCTAACTGAGTTCTGAATTGAACCAACCTGCTTCGTTGAAAATTAAGGCGCAGAGTAAGATCATTTTTCCTCCTACAACTCGATCAAAACATTTCATCAGAATCATCAGCACATCCTTTATGGTCTCCGATCACTTGAGGGGACTGCAAGCGTCGATGTTTCCGAATCGCGGACTGCTTTGTGTTATTATGATTGTCACTTGTGCGCTGTCGCAATAGACGGTTCACTTCGGTTGACTGAGTGGTTTTCAACTCACAGTCACTTGATCAGCATCGTGTTGGATGTGTAATGAGCTTTGTTTTAGACTGATCGTCCATCGCAAAAGTCATCCTATGTGGCTGAATCAATTAACTTTAAACTTCAAAGGTCAAGAACGGGCTTACGATCATTAAGCATATTGGAATGATCCCAAACATAAGTTCTCAGTGTACAAAATTTTCATGAAAATGTGATTTTCATTCACGGACAGCGAAAGCGTAATTTATGACTCGACACCATACCACCAAAACGACGGCACCGTATCGTCGGACACTATGAATAACTTTCATAGTTTTCAGGATAATTCGTCGATTGAGTCGCTTGTCCGGGAGCTTTACGAATGAAAGTGAGATCAAAGATAACTGGACGCACATTTGCATGAAATCGGGCTTTCCTGTTGTGCTGGATCGTCAAATGAACACAAAGAAAAAGGAGGGTCCAAGTAGGTTTTTCGAGGATTCGGGAATTTAGAGTAAGAAGGGAGCAAGATGCGGAAATCTGCGGCCTCGGGGGGGTGGGATTCGGGAAAATATCACCTCCACGAACCGAGAAACAGAGAAGTCCGTTGACAAGAATTAAGAACAAAACTCATCTACGCGTTTTACTTCTCCCCACAAACGCAAAAGTGAAACGCGATCATAAAGGCCTCATTAAATTGAGGTAATGGACTAAGAAATATTGTGATTAGGTTCGGGATTGGCCGTTGTAATCCGTCGGGATTACGGGTTGAGAGGATCGCAGGACTGAAGAATCCAATTAGGGGCTCTCAAAAAGATGTACAGGAGAGATGCCAGCTAAATAATTATTTCTCATTAAGGTTAGAATGATGGCAATTAACAGTGATAAAGTGACTTTTGAAAAATCGCTGAATTGGTCAGTTGAAAAAAACTATTCTTGAAAACTGGATCTTGTGATAATGCAATTCAAATAGATTGTTCAACCAACAAACCTCGTCAAATTTTGTTAAGAAGACCCCCGTTTTCCTCTCAATAATGAGTATATTTTTTCTCAGGCGCTCGCTCTATTTCTTTGGAAATAGCATATGTATGAAGCAGATAACTCGCTATCCAGCAAATAAGTGTCAACAAAACATACGGTGCTCTCCATTGGATAGATTCATAGTTATGCAACCTTCGAACAACTACAACATTTCCATCTGTTTAACTTAATTTAATTTTACGGCACCAATGGGTATTCTCTCTATTTTCACAGCTACATAAGTAGTGTTCATTACTACGAGGATTTGCTATCATACAAAACACCAGGTCTGGTGGAAAGTTGCATAAGCCACCCCATCCCTCATACACAGTACAAAAGTGTTACTCTCGTAAACGTACCAGGGAACGTTTAAGACAAACATTCGGAAGACATTTTGGTCCTCAACCTCATCACACGGAAAGGGAAGCAAGAGAACTGATACAGAATTACATCTTTACTCTCGAGTTTACAAAAACATCATGTCCAAATAGTTGCACAAAGTTTTTATCAGTAGAATCATGCACAAAACAATATGAAATATTTGTAGTGGTAGTTCCGTCGCAAGATCTCCATTACCAGGATGATGCAAAGGATCCTTTGTGGACCTTTCTTGATCTGTAGTGGGTATTCCTCGATTACACCTTGTGTCTTAGTAAGACAGACCGTTTTCTCAGATCTTCTTAACAGTTGACTAAGTTGGAAAAATAAATTCACCCTCCATACGTCCATACATGTACTATCCAGGGAAAGTAGAAATTACCAAAACCAAGCACAAAACTACAAGTGTTTTTGTTACTTTAAAGGTTCCTGATGTGACGTTATGCAGGATGTTAGGTGGCTGTTGTGTGACGTCGCTTGCATTTTCTGGTAAAGACCTTCCTATGACTACTTCTGGGGCTCGGGTTCGTGTGCCTGTGGCAGAAAAATGTTAAGCACATAATCAAACTTCTTGTTTGCAGTGTGTCGTGATTTCTTACAACAGGTGAGTCGTATGAATTCTCGTTCTT